GGCACTCGACGATCAGTCAGAGATGTTTCTCAAGGATAATCAGGTATTAAATTGAATACTCAAAGTATGAATTACATACCTTAGACCCACGGGGTGCCTCTCTTTTATAATATACTTAATCCAAGTCCAACTAGAAATATGACTTTTGTGTACCCGTCTTAGTACTTACTCTGGACTCTTTAGGAGATAGACATAAACTCTCTAAGAGGTTTATCCTTATCTTAAACTGAGTCCCCTCTTTGCTTCAGGACTCTTGTCCCTTATCTTCGGATTCCGACATCTTCGGAGATGACCTCGGCTTATCCGAGATTACCTCGGCTTAACTACCAGGGCACGTGGCACCTCGGCTGACACGTCGGCGTCACCATGCCACGTGCTGGTAATCAGAAATAGTCCCCACACCTTTCAAGGGCGACATCATAGTAACTCCCTAATATTATTATGTTCTAAAATATATTTTAAATTATATTATTCATTTTATAAAAGTGGAAGGCTTAAGTGTAATAACGACACCGTTCTATGCGGTGTCTCAGCCAATAAAAAAATCATAAATGAAATTAGATTGACAATTCTTATCTACACTAATCCAATCATTATTTCTCACTACAACAATGTAAAAACTCTTAAGGATAAGTGATATTTTTACGTGATATTACCGTTCTATAAACTATTTAACAAAAATAATAGTTTATTTACTTCCAATTAATAACATGAAAAATCACAGGTGTAATTGCATAAAAATCATTTACTTTTAAAACTAACCCTACTTATCTTTATGTTAGAATTTGTCTTTATGTTTTTTTTTTTTTTTGAGCCTCCGATGATCGAATCTTGAATCCGTTCCTGATTAGTGGTGACTAAATGTAATGTGTATGCCTCAAAAGATAATTTAATTGAGCGATAAAATTGTAAATAAAAAAAAGGGCAAATTACATATAACACCCCTCGAGGTTTGGTAATTAAGATACCCCCTGAGGTTTCGGAAATTACATCCGCCCCCTGAGGTTTGTATTTCATAACAATTTACCCCCTGAGGTTTATATTTCATAACAAATTACCCCCTAATTTCTTATGTAAATTAGTATTCAGGGGGAATGTAATTTCTCAACCTCAGGGGTATTTGTAATTTAGCCAAACCTCGAGGGGTGTATATGTAATTTGCCCTAAAAAAAAATGAGTGACATGTAGATAAAATTACCTAGCTTTTTGTGCACTTTAATGCATTTTAATTTATGTTGCCGACTTTGACTTTTTTTTTTTTTTTTTTTTTTTTTTTTTTTTTTTTTTTTTTTTTTTTTTGATAGGGACCTTATGTCGTTATGCGATAAATTACACCGATGTTGAGAATCTCTTCAGATCCGTCTCTTTTCTTATGCACTATCTCAGTGTTTCAGTCCAGTAATTTCCACGTCAAGTTTGAAGAGATGACCAAAAATCAATGTTTAAAAAAAAAAAAAAAATAGATAGTAAGACCTGTTTGGTAATATCACCTTTTAATTAAAAAACAGAAACAATAGAAATACAGAAAAAATCAAGGACAGCGGCAAAGAGAATGATGAAACAGCATAGAAGTTCAAGGTAACATGCCTACCTGACTTGAAGCTTGTAGTCTTCTGCGACGTCGGCCATACCTTGAGCATAGGCCTTTTCATCGGCCTCTTCTTTGCCATGGCCTATGGCACAGAAGCAGTCATCCCATTGGAGATTGGCATCCCAGGGATCAGAACCCAGGGAGTAGAGAATGGCACCATTGACATACTCTTAGCCCGAGACCTGGATTTGTTGGAAGAACGAAGAGAGAAAGCTGCGATTCAGCTCGCAGTATACCAGCAACAGCTTGCCAGAGCTTATAACAAGAAGGTTAATCTAAGAGATTTTCAAGTTGGCGACCTAGTCCTGAGAAAAGTCGTCGGGAACAAGAAGGATCCCAGGGAGGGCAAACTTGGCCCAAACTGGGAAGGACCCTACAGAGTTACTTCAGTATTAGGCAATGGAGCATATCGGCTTGAGGACAATGAGGGCAAAGCATTGCCCAGACCTTGGAATACTTGTAATTTGAAATTTTTCTATCATTAGATAAACATCATTGTTTGGCCGATATTATCAATAAAGTCTTTTCAGAATCCTTTTCAACATGTTCGATTGATAAAGTTATGCATGGATGTTTTTGAAGACATATCAAACTCAAAGCTAAGCTGATTCCTTATCTTCACTTGTTGAAATTTGTAGCAATTTACAAGTTTATGTTAAGCCGACGTATGATCACCCGCCGAGGTATACAGTAAGTTACAGGTTAAAATAAAGGCTAAGTATATTGTTCTTCACTTGTTGAAATTTGTAGCAATTTACAAGTAGGTAGGACTAAGCTTACCATTTAATACTTGTTGAAATCTATGAAAAGATTGCAGGACAGTATCGTGCCGAAGTAAAAGTCTCATGGTTATACCCGAGGTATGAAACCCCGAGGAGATTGCATAAAGGAAGCAACATGAGGAAATATGCAAAAATTTTCTAAGCACAAGACTATATATCACAAGATTGAAACATCCAGAGGAGGAATTGTTACAGTTACATATTAAAACCACGTGAAAAGAAAGAAGTTTTGCATTACCCAGAATGTAAAAAAGTACAAAGCGCAAAAAAAAAACAGAAAAAAGAAGGAAAAAAGTACAAAGGACAGTTTTTTCAAGATTCCTCAGCATTAGCCACTGCAGGGACTGGGATCTCGGACGATTCAGGTGGAATCTCCTCGGCCACTTTCTCCGCTTGTATTTCGGCATCTATCTCTGCCAATGTTGTGTCAAGACTTCTTTCAGTCAGAAGGAGGTCAGATGATAGATACCCTTGGACAGACTCCTTGGGCACTTCCTCAGCATCATCACCCCCCTCATCTTGAGTTAAGTCCATAACCTGCTCAGCAGGTGGAGGGGACTTGACTTCGGCAGCATTCTTGGGTTTTCTCACCAAGGCCTCACCATCATCTTTTTCTTCATCTTCCTCCACGGCCTCGGCCTCAGACTCTGATTCACCTTCAGGAGGAGGTGGAGGAAATGGTAACGGAATAGCGTCGGCCTGACGCAATGGCGAGTCAGCAGGGAGGTCAAGCTTCTTTATCAAGGACATCCAACCAAGGGAAAATCCCCTGTTGCATGCCTGCCTGACTTGAAGCTTGTAGTCTTCTGCGACGTCGGCCATACCTTGAGCATAGGCCTTTTCATCGGCCTCTTTGATTTCGGCCTCTTTGGTGGCCAAAGCTTGCTGTAATTCTTTCTCCGCTTGGGCCTTCTGAACCTCGGCCTCTCTTTTCTCGGCCTCATCAACCTTTCTAACGGCCTCAGCAGCTTCGGCCTTCTCAAGAGCTAAAGTTTGAACCTTAGTTGCAGCCTCGGCTTGATCCTCCAATTTTTTCATTTTTGCTTCAAGAGACCTGATCTCTCTCTTCATAGAAGATGCTTCCCTCTTCATATCAACCAACCTTTGACGATTTTCAAAGGCTTGCATGGAAAATGAGTGGGCATGCTGAATGGCCTGCAAAAAGAACAGAAATGTGAGACAGTACTCTCAGTGAAGAACGGAAGAAAGAAACACAAGTACAGACAGAAATACTTACTTGAGCAGAGTGTTGGAGCATCAGAGCGTAATTTTCATACTCACTAAACTTGACATTTCGCTCAAAGTCATTTGGTAGAAGAAGAGCAGTGCTAAGGGCGACAGCAACGTTGATATCATCAGCACTTTCACTAGCCATGATAGGCCTATCCTCCAGGGATAGATCAGGGGCCCAGGGGACGTCGGACTTCTTCGAAGCCGAGGTCGTCGCAGACGATGACCTTGGCCGCTTTGATTGTGTAGACCCTGAGGGTTGGCCCTCAGCAGACCTTTTGGTTGAAGTAGAGGCTGATTTTTTGCTTTCAGCTAGCTTCGAAATCGGCAAAGCATCCTTAGCCTCGGCATCTGTAGCCTTGGCCTTAGGCTGAGCCTTTTTTACCCTCTTCGGTTTGGGTGGAAGCATTGTTTGCGTTGGTGCGGCTTCGGCGTCAGTTGGATGAAGTTTAGTAATACTGGGGCTTTTCGTTTATGGATTGGGAGGCCAAGAAGTGTTTTCAGATCTGTTCCTGGGAAGAAGGATTGGCGAAAATTTTTCGGTGGCTGATGAAGATCTGCAAAGAAACAGACGTCAGAAACAAAGTATTAAAGTCTTAAATAAAAACAACTAGAGTGTTGACTCAGGGCTCTTACTCTTGCCCTCTGTAATTGTTCGAGGAAGAGGGTAGAGGCGGACATCTTCATCTGGGCCAAATTCCCAATTTCCAGAAGCAATGAGAAAATCATCTCCAGCCCCCTTGTTGGAGTCTGGGAGGTCGGCTATAATTTTGTACTGAGTGGATCTCGGCTTAAGGTAATAGACAAAACCCCTATCCTTCAGATCGAGAGGGCACATGGTATAACAATATTGAAGGTCAGCTAGGTTGATTCTAAGGTTTTCTTGCCTAGCTAAGGCAATAATACCGTTAATTACCCTATAGGAATTGATAGTAAGTTGCATAGGGTTCAGCTTATAGAAATGGAAAACTTGACGAAAAGGGGATCGAGTGGAAGCCGAAGTCCACATTCGGTAAAAGCAACTATTGGAAAAGGCATTGTGTGGTCTGTGGGCACGATGGTATCATTATCCCCAGCCAGCTTAAGATGAACATCGGCTAGGATAGAGAATTCTTGCCTAAAGTATTCAAGTTTTGTCGGGGTGTTCACCCTATGCCTCCACATACCCATTATGTTGGCTTAAACTAAGAGGAATATGTTTCAGAAGGTGGGCGTTTTTCAGGTTTCCCTAAAGATTAAGGGTTCTACAGACAAATCCCAAATCTATAAGGTATGAAGATAAAAATCGAGGGCACAGATCTGGGGCAGATACAAAAAAGAGAAAACAAAGATGAAGTTTCAGATTCAAGAACAGAGGTATAGTTCTCAGAAACAATAGAAATACAGAAAAAATCAAGGACAACGGCAAAGAGAATGATGAAAAAACATAGAAGTTCAAGGTAAAAGCCACAAATTCAAGATACAAATAAATCCAAGACCTCGAACAAGATCAGTAATGACAACAGACAGACAAAAGCACAAGAGAATGGAAAAATTAAAGAAGAAGATCTTACCAGGACAAATGAAGCCAAGGCAGTGCTCGCCGAACTCAGAAATTGATTGCAACAGTAAAGAGGGCTTTTGCAAGAATGAGGGATTAAGAGCAGTTCCAGAAGAAGAATGAGCTTTTCAGAGAGAGAAAACAAGAAGACGGAATGAAAAAAGTGAAGAAAAGATAAGAGGCAAAAGAAAGGTTTTGTCAAAAATATGAAACGGCGGCAAAATTAGGGCAATCATTACGCCTAGGGTAACGCACGCGTCAGACGGCGCAGACGAAATGAAAAAGGGGACTGAATTAAGATGAGGATAAAACTTTCAAGGAGTTTATCTTTATCACTTAAAAGAGTCCAGAGTAAACAGTGAACTAGAATTCATAGAAGTCATATTTCTAGTTGGACTTGGATTAAGTATATTATAAAAGAGAGGCACCCCCGTGGGTCTAAGGTATGTAATTCATACTTTGAGTATTCAATTTAATACCTGATTATCCTTGAGAAACATACTGACTTGATCGTCGGAGTGCCCCCGGGTGGAAGAACCACCGCCGGAGCTTTTCCTTTCTGTTACAGGTTGTTAGAGCCATCTATTCTGCCGGTGCTTTGCTGCTGATCACTAAACGGGCAGTGTGATCAGATTTTTACACACACAAAAGGTATATACCATATACATGTATCACAATATACATAGTATAACCATAACAAATTATAACTTTTTTTACCAAAATAATTTGTAACATTTCGCATCACAAATGGTTTGTAAAATTTACACTATATTGTTCATTACATAATTATAATGGCTCATAATTTTCACTTTTACTTTAGAGATACACACTGTAAATTCACTGTAAATCATTTTTACCACAAAAATAACACTACAAATATATTAACTTTTATCACAAAAATTCATATATTTTTTATGATATGCATGTACATATAACATTCTCGTATATATTATAGGGATATTGCTATTATTGTATAATAAAGAATGGTTAAAGAGAATAGTTAAAAACATGATCATTAAATGAAAGGGGGGTTACATAGAAGAAGTTACTAGTATGTTGCACCAAATTTATACACAATAACAAAGCATCTTATGTAAAGATGGGGCCAGGGCCCCTGTAGGTCTACACACAGTTCTGTTCCTACCACAAACCACCTACTTCTCAGCCTTCGTCACACCTCCTACTTCCCTCTATCTTCTTTTTCTTTCGGCATCAATCGTCTCTCTCTCTCTCTTCTTCTGTAACTTGCATCGTGCCTCCCTTCTGCAGCTGCTACAACCCTTCGTCATGACCTATTCTTCATATCCCCTCCACAATGTGACCTAGCTCATTCACCGTTCGATTCAATCATTGTTTGCCCTGTGAAATAGAGATAGAGGGATTGATTTGGGTTTCTAGATCTAGGGTTTGAAGAGAAGAAGAAAAAAAGTGAGTTGTGAGTGGAAACAGACAAAAGGGAAAGGGTGATAGGGGTGAATGTTGTGGATGATTGTGATAGGAGAGGGTGTAATAGTGAAGTAAGGAGCTACGGAGGAACTGGGGGTGGAAGATGGGAAAGGGGATGTCGTTGACAAGAGAGGGGCGATGGAGGAAAGAGGTTCAAAGGGGTGATGTCGAAGGTTGGGAGAAGTTAGAGTTAGGGTTAGGATTAGGGTTAAAGTTGGGAGAGTTATGGTTGAAGAAGATGGGGATATTTTAGAAATATTTTAAAACTAATGGTGTGCGTTGAGCAAAAATAAATTTTAAAAAAAAGATGTCAAAATTGTATGTGATGTGCATAGGTAAGTGGTGTTCTAAATGGATATAATTGGGCAGGTTAATGAATTTGGATTGAATTTGTCACCTCTAAGAATTACCTAAAAAATTGTTTCTTGAACAATTAAACAAAATATATATCTGAATAATTAATTTTCAATTATAAATTTATGTCTAAATATTTAATTTTTATTTGAAAATTTATATATGAACACACAAATTGCATGTAGTGAAATGTTTTTTAGTGTGTGAATAGAATTTACCTCTAAAAAGTTTTTTATTTATATTTTTTTGAATAATTTACAAATACACTCTTTGAGATTTATTAATTCTTCCTCATGTTTGATAATTATATATGTCACCTCTTGAGTTTTTGAATCACATAACAGATGGCTTCCTCTGTTAATCAACCGTTAAGTTAAACTAACAAAATGTATATCATAAACAACTATTTTTTATCCTTCAAAAATACCTATATTAACCTTACTATCATAATTTTTCACAGTATGTAGTGTGCTGCCAAGATGATAGGAGAATATTATAGTAATATAGAGAGAGATTTGGTAATGAGTGGATTAAAATGAGAATCGAATGGTGATTTCATTTTAGTATTAGAGATTATTTGGTGTTGTTTTTTTCCTATTAGGTCAATTGCAAAAAAAAAATAAAAAATTATGACAATAAAAATTTTACAATTTATAAAATATGAGAGCGAATTCATATTTTTGTCAAACTTCATGCTATATTTGTAACTTATCCAACTATTTTTTTTAAGTAGTTTTAGCTAGAGCTCCCTTATTACAAGATTCTATTAGTACGAGGACACAACAAAAGAATTCCTAGTGAAAAAAAAAGACAGAAAAAGGTATCTATATTCGAATCTTTTTGATCCTTGGACAATGTAGCTGAAAATATTTAGACATCATATGTGCTTTATAGATATTTTTATTTATTATTTTATTTTATTTTATTTAAATGAAGTGAAATCAATCTAGTGGGAAACCTGCCAACCACGTGGCAGGTACACATGCTTTAAACGTGGGCTATCATCAAGTGTACCCAACCCATAAACACATGTCATGTCAAGTAGCAATCCATAGTGAGCCTAGTCAAAGACCCTTTGCGTATAGCCAAACAAATGTGTACTCTCTTGCATTGTCTTGGCCTTCAGGCACCGTTGGAGAAGATGATTTGGGAGTTTTTTTTATTATTTTAATCGTAAAAAATAAAATAAATTATTTTAATCATAATAAATAAAATATCATATTTAATTTATAATTATTATATTATTTTTTTATAAAAAAAATTAAAAAAATTAAAAAATCATCTTCAAATCAAACTTTTTAATCCTAATTAAAATAATTAAAAAAACAAAAAAATTAACTCACTTCCCGAACGGAAGCGGCTCCATCAATTGTTGTTATCTCCAAAAACCCATGAATAAGCAATTTTATCTTTGCAAATAGTTCATTATTTAATTTAATTATTTATATAGCAACGTTTTTAGAGCACAAAACCCAATGGAAGCAACACCATTATTGAGTAGTAGTACTCTCCAAATGAAGCCTTCGTTTCTTCTACAAAAATTCAGTTGAGAGTTGATCCATGATTCTCTTCCTCACTCCACTCAATCTCCAATCCAATGGTCCTCTAGGAAAATCAACGGTACAAACTGTTTTACAAAAACAAAAGCAGAAGGATTGACAAAGTATGAGACAAATATGCTGAAATGAGTGTGATTTGAGAGAGGGAGAGAGAGAGAGAAGCACATCAGAAACCACAACAAAATGACTTTTGATATTGTTTTTGTTTTTTGTTTTCTACTCACGAAAACAGAAAAACTGATACGGAAAAATTGTTTCCAAAAAACAGTTTCCAGAAAGTTCCCTAAAAAAAAAACCCAAACACTCATACATTATGTTTAAAATTTTTAAATGAAAGTGCGGCTGGAGCACATCATTTTAAGGAGAGCTAATGGTTGTTGAGTTTTTTGGTTTGATACCGCTTCACACTATAAAGAAGGTAACTATGTACGAGTTAAACTTGAAAATGAAAGTTTTCTTTCATTTCACAATGAACTTTTCATTGGGAATTTTCTGAAGAAAAAAAAAAAAATCATCGTGCCTTCCTCCAATATCTTAT